CTTAAATAATAGAAGTTTTCCTCACCGGCTCTCAAATAACCACCGATGCTGAAATAGCATTTGAGTTATTGGACACGACATTTGCAAAAGTTCTTCAAAATTAGCTAACTATAGCGAGGTTTGGGGACGTTTTGCTTTTTTTTTTTCCCCCTAATGCTCATGTTGAAAGCACCTCACCTCCTTCTGCTCATCATTTTTCCAGTCTGTTTAATTCTGATTGCCAGACTTCATAGCTATGCACCAGGCACACGGTTGGAATCCAGGCAGGCTGGGTATGCTCACGCCTGTGATAAACCTCAGGCTATCATCGCTGTAGGACTGAATCAGATTAGTACCTTGCAGTCAGATGCTGGCTGCAAGGGGCGGAACGGGGCTGTTTCCCTTGCGCTTTGCTGGCTGCCGGAGGAAGACGCCTGGCGTTCAGTGCCACGGCGCCTGGGCGCGCGAAAACGTTCATCCCCGATGCACGGGGCACAGCGCGTCTCCCCGGGGAGAGGCTGGGATTTGCTTTGGCACCCTGTGCTGCGATGAGCAGCAATCTACTGGTGAGAATCAAGACGTGCTGGTGGGAGAGGGCGTTGTGAAAGCGATGACGGAGAGGCGTAGGAATCCCAGGGAAAGCTTGGTGCGGTTGGAGCAGTCACCCAGCCGGTGCAGCCTTTCCCTTGCTCTTGCGTAAGATGATGTAAGGTGACAGAGAGCTTAACTGTGATCGGTCCTGTTCTGGTGTTAATTACCAGTGACTGCATCGCTTTTGATAGAATTAGAGGAGTGTAAAACAGCCCCACAATTAAGTCTGATTTTGATCTTAGCAGCTTCAGACAATATAAATGCAAATATAATTTTGAGACCAGTTCAAATATTTTTTAACAGCGTTGCTCAAAAACGAAAAGAGCAGAGTAGTCAGTTGTCGGCCAGAACAAGAGCATATGTCCTGCTTCCATTTCAAAACCAAAAACACTGACCACAGAGGTCTTATCTGTGTACTTAAGTTTTGCCTGCATCTTTCCTCTCTACTAAGCCAGGCAACTGCTGTATCCTCACCTTTATTTGGGAAGGAAAACTCATTCAAAAACATTGTGCACCTGATCCTTATTTGCAGCTAAATCCTTTTACACTTTCACAGCAGGGGAAATTTCGTGCAGCTCTTTCCACTTGGATCTGTGCATTGCCAAGCAAAGCATGCTTGGTAGGAAAGGCACATCCTTTATTATGGATGCCGTAGCCTAGAGCAGCCTTTGTCACCCGTACTCAGCCGCTGAGTTATTAAGAGAAGAGCTTCGGACTGTGTTACACAGAGAAAAAGATAAAAATAGTGTGTCTGACGCATGCATCCCATGTCGCACGCCAGGAAACAGAATCGTGATGCCACTGAGTACAGTATTGCAGAGCATGCGTGGAAAATATGCATGGATATGAAAGTGCGAGATCTTTCCTCAGCAAGAAAAATACTCAGTCCCCCTTTTCCCCAGTCCCATTTTACATCTGTCTTGTGCGATACTCCCTTTACCTGTTGTCCTGACAAATCTAACAGCCTGGAGTACCACAGCTCTGCCACTACTGCCACCGCTCCCCTCGTCGTCTTGCTGAATGACATGACAGTAGTACCACTCTCCTGTATTTTGAGGGAGCTGCACAATGTTCTCGCTGCGCCCAGCAGAGAGTAAGCAAAATCTTGCCCGTTCTCCAGATGTCTGTATCATGCCGAAAACTCCCAAAGCTCAACGCCGTCTGTCGCAGAAACCGTACGCTGGGTGCATAATCTGAAATTGGTCATCCACACCAGGTGCCCCTTTAAATGTTAATCCTTGCATTGTTTTCTTTTATTTGCTTCTGTGGGCATCCACAATTATGTGACATAATATAGAAGTAAATAATGTGATGCAATGGATAAAACTCAAACAGAAATACATGTCAGAGATCAGATGCCTCCTACCACAGAATATGACATAAAACTTGCAGTGACATGAGTGCAGATTTTGCCTGTTTTGAGGGCAAAATGGATGTTCTTGACACTTTCCAGCTCTTGAAAATTCATGTTCATTCAGTGCTGTAGCCTCTACTTGTCTTCAGGTGCAGAAGTAGCTATCAGGGAGTAAGTAACTGTGGGTAATGGATCCAAAGCAAAACCCAGCATGGCTGTATGACAGGGCCTTTAAAAACACCAAGCATATATCCAAAGATCACAAACCTTAAAAAAGCAATGCAAAACATGCATCTGAGATCTTACTATTTATTTTCCAGCATGTGAACACTTCTTGGGGAAGGGCAGGTGTGCAAAGCTGAGGACTTCGGGTGTTCGATTGCCTCCTGGTAGGAAACCTGTGGGAAAACCACAAGCTGAGACTCAGCAGCAGGTTCCGAGATACGGCAGCAGCCGAGCTGAGATTTAAAGATAGAGCCTGAAATAGCAGAACTCAATGCAAGACCAACATTTTTTGACCCCTTTGCCCGGATTCAGTAAAACATATGGGTACCTCAGTGTGTGATTTTGCTTTTGCTGAATTGAGGTTTGAGTTACTTGCTGGTCTATTTTTACCTTTTAACCAGCCTTGTAATTCAATATGTGTTTGTTTTAATTTTACACTCACCATAAAAAGCACCGTCCATGACGAGTTGGCGAAGTGACCGCTGGTAACGCATAGAAATTTAATCGGCTGGTGTGTCACACTGTCTTACTTTCACCCCCCCCTGCAAACCCGTGTGCCGCTCTCGATAAAATACTCGATAAAAATACTCCTCGATTCCTTGCATCTCCTCCATCACCTCGGCTTTGCCGCCGAGGCTCTGGGGATGCTGAGGCAGGGTGAGGTCAGCCCGGGCTGAATCGAGTCACTCTGCCTGCCCTGCTCACATGCGCTGGTGGCAGGTAGTGAACAGCCAGGGCTGCGAGGCGGAGGGGACGGGCCAGTGATGAGTAGGATGGTGGCTTCTCTGTGGCCGCTGGCCGTGCCAGGAGCGTGCCTGCGATTGCCCGCCGGCAGCTCGGGCTGCATGTCCACCTGTGGGGACTAAAGCCAGAAATCTCTCTTTTTGCCACCAGCGTGGCACTAGTGTTGGTGTCAAGGGTCGTAGGAGGTGGGATGTTCCGTGTGGGGCTGAACAGCGACGCGCAGCCCACGGCACTCTGCTGATGGCAACGTGCAGGCTCGGCTCTGCTTTTCTCTCTCTGTCGCTTTGCCGATACAGCAGATTTTCAAACTGTCGCTAATGTGTTTGCAATTTGACAATGCCAATATGGAAACCCCCATGTCATATCACGACCCCCTGGCTCCAAGCTGCCTTTGCGTGTTGTCTCAGCAATGCAGAGCTGATAAAATACTGTAGTGCTGGGAATCAACAATGAGCCTCCTCCTCCTGTCCTCCCAGCATCCATGCACTTTAGGTATGGATGTAAAAATTGCTACACCAAATCAAAACAAATTGAAGTGCTTCTGTTTTCCTCTTGACTCTTCTGACCAAAGAGTAGGGTGAAAAATCTGCAGTACGCCCAGTTAGTCATGGAAGATGCGTATAGGCACAACGTCCTTCCTTGCTTGTGCATTGGTCACCGTGGTACCTGAAACATTACCGTCATGCATTCCTATTGCCATCAGCATTTTTGATAGCCGTGGGAAGGCTTCATTCCTGTGTTTGCAATCACCAAAATTTTGCAGTTCTTTAGGAGCAAAAGTGACTCAAGATCTTTGTTCTTAATATCATTC